TTATTTCAAGGAATACTTGGACCTCAATATACCGATCATTGAAACGCCGCCATCGAGTGAGGACGAGGAGGAAGAGGACGAAGAGATGGTCGAAGAAAACATGAATAGCGATGATCTTGAAAAACACAATCAAATGGTGTTTCAAAGAAATATTGAGAATAAATGCTATGATTTAACAGAACTCGAAATCCGCACCAAATATCTGAGCGAAACGTTGAATCTCTATCATATAAACAGAGAAGATTTTGTGTGAATAACCCAATCGTTTGTTTGTTTTATAAATTTTTTATAATTTAAATACAGCTGAACCCCCAAAGAATTTGTAAATTTATTAAATGTTAAATAGAATATTGATTTGAATTTTAACGCTTTTATAAGATGTACCTGTACTTATACTTAATGATTGCAATGACTGTTGTAATCAATGCTAACGAAGTTAGTCACAAATGTATTTTAATTGTATTATATAAGAATTCATATCTAATTATCATTTTAATTTTAAAATGATATCGAAATATGATTTAATGCCAATAATCGTACAATTCGTTCATTTTAATTGTNTGGGCGGTCGCGACGTTTCTGGCGGTGCGACCATTCGCTGCCATTTCTGAAACAGCGTTGTCTTCAGACAATCTCTTGGACTCAATGAATAGGCCTTATGTCTGGACATGAGTTCCTGCATTGGCTCTAATATAACGCATAGCTGTTCAACACATTCAACACAATGAGTCAACTGTTGGGCTAATCTGATGGTCAGTTGGCATACCCTTAAGTAGTTAAGTGTAGAGTTGGTCAGTCCCTGACGGGTAATGTTTTTGGACATCTGTTCCAAAATGGTGGGGTCGTGTTGTGCCTGAATTGCAACTATCCCCCTAGGAATCAACTCCTGGTGATGTCTTGTGGCGAAGTGCCACGACTTGATCCGCATTAAGTCATCGTGAGTGAACTCTAATATAAGCCGCCCCTCAGTGTTCACTACAACTGAATTGTCTTTTGCTAATTGCTCTTTGATTGGATCATTAGGTTGTGGAGGGTATGGACCCATAGGCTGTACATAGGAGTGAAAGTGTGTGCAATGGTATCAATGGTTATGTTAAACATATTTAAGTTGAAAAGTGTATTCATTTTTAGGTGAAATAAATCGATAGAAAGAATCGGAAAAAGAGAAGTTCACAGAAAGTACAGCAGAAAGCGATCGGCGACTCAAAGCTAACTGTGCTCTCACTCTGTAGAAGAGGTGAGCCATTGCTATGACTACCGGAGCATTAAATCGATACTCGCTCTGCTCTGAGACTTGGGTTGCCATAGGAATGAGAGTTGCATTCAGTCATAGATTTAATCAATTATTGGCACAAAAAATAAGAGCTAAAAGAGAAGTAAATTTAAACTAAAAGTCACTGTTTGTTACAAATGAGGCAATTATTGGCAAAAATAAATTCATTTAAAACAAAAATCCAATTCATTAATCAATACAAATAATAACAATATTGACGGCAAACACAATGAATAGAGAGATAGAGTATAGCGTGGAAAGCAGTGGTGGAGTGAGTGGTTGGTGGGGTGGGTGCGGGAGGGGTGTTGTGGCCATACCTTGTTGTAGTGCTTGCCGTGATGGGTGATGATAGAGCAGTGGTCACAGTCCAGCGTAAGGGACGTCGTGTGGAACGACTCCTTCGGGTGCTTCAGATTGATGGACAGCTCCGTAACGCCGCCCTCGAAGATACTCCGGAAGTATCGCGGGATCAGAGTTCGACCGATGGCTACAACAATGGGTTTAGACATCAAATGATCACATCTTAGAGTTGTGGTGCGAGTGATGTCTTACTGTATCGTTTGGGTCCGTCCTCTAAGCAAAAGGTGAGCGTAAGAGTGGCGTCGTCTTCGAAGAACTCAGTGGCGAACGCATCCCACCAGAGGTTATCACTCTCTTGGTTCACAAACAGCTGCCAATCAATACAATCATAGGTTACCATCGATTGACACGACAGGCAATCAGACAATAATACTTCGCTGCGCTGTTGAAGTCGTTTATTCATCTCGAAGACCCGGATGTCCGGCTGAACGATCTGATACGGGGTCTGATGTCTGGCGAAGTTGTTAGGCATCGACGGCATTGGGCTATAGAAGGGCTCCGACACAGAGGGAAGTGGTGTTTGTGGTGAGTGTGGATGTGGAGGATGTGGTGGATGTGGCGGTGGATGCGATGCGTGCGGTGGATGTGGTCCTCCATATGAAGACATGGAGTGATTGCTGAGCATTGGCCGCATTGTCACCAATCGGGTGGTGGTGTGAGTGAATCAATTGGTGGACAACAATGTAGTGATAATACCGATGACAGCAGTGGTCGCCATATTTGCCGTATATATCGATATATACAACACTATTGTGTTATGTATTCAATGTATTCAATGTATGCCTCCAATGACAGTACAGTCAGTGAGACAGTGAGTGCCACCTCTCCATTGGCTCACAACCACACAACACACTCAACACTAGACTCACACTAGACTCACACACAGTCAACACTACCCAACCCAATGCAACCCAACCCGACTCACATCCGTACCTCACTCTATAATCCCTACATTTACTGTACTGTACTATGCTATCTGTACTAGGACATTTATTTGACTAACCATCATTTAAATAAACTCATTCAAACTGATTGAACTAGTATTGAGCTATAGTAAGGTTAGGATATGATAGTGAAACAGACATACAATGTCTCACATCTAACACAACTGCCGCCAAATTTGACAAAACTTTACTCAATGGCTATTCCGTGCTATCAATTGGTGTCCATTCCAGTGACCACACTATCAGTCCCTATATGTAATGATTCTAAAATGACCATGCACACATATGTAGATATTGCAATGCTTTAGATTAAGTATAACAAACACATTGTCTGATTGAGTGTCAAGTGATGTGACAACACATACAATGTGTGTGAATGTCATTCACCCGCACTATGTCTCAAACCATTGATTTCCTAGTATTTAGCGATCATTATGTTATCAATTGCTTCACTTATACTCCAATACTTAAGTATTTTATCAAATATTTTGCAATCAAATTTAAATTGATTATGAATGCACATCAACCCACCACCACCACCATCATCACCACCCAGGCACTCAACTGATATACAAAGAACAGTTAGAAGTATATACAGTATATATGGCTAATGAAAAGTATGCATTGAATGGTTGTACAGAATATAACATTACATAATAACTAAGACATTGTGAGTAACACTAAGAATAACAAACAACCGAACCGTGCATTCAATGCAAACTTTGCTTTACTTATCATATATTCTGTGTTTGTTTGACGTATTCATAAACACATTGTATTCGTCCCACTATTTCAAGTGAACTCAACTAAATATACTGTATATTCAGTGGTATTGAACAGATCAGCATTAACTGCATCACTATTGCAGAGATTATTTTCAATTAATGATTCACATCAACATTATTCGTAAACAAATTAGTCAGTCGTTAGCACTTAACACTTAACTTACTTTAAAGTTTAAACTCATTCACTAATACAGTATATTATATAACAGATTCTGTATTCAACGATATAGTACAGTATGCGTTGATTGATATTTAAATTATTAATGTAATATAGTAAATTTTAATTCTTATATTATAATACTATATCTATACAGTATTATTAAAAATAGCAGAATTTAATACAAATTATGCCAACATTCTCAAGGATTCTGTACTTACATCGAGCTATTCTAATACCTAATCTAATAACATATAAATGAACGAGGCAAATATTTTTGTGGAATTCAATGTTTTATTAAAAATTAAAATCAATATCAATTCAAATGATTGGTTTACAATGAAAACGAAAAATAATTAAAATCAAAACAAATGATTTGGTTAATAATATGTTTGTCTAAACTTGAATTAACAAATAATAATAAGTAATTTGTAACAATTATGCAGTGATTTATAATTATGATTGGATGTGAAAAATTACAATTAAAATGAACGAATTGTACGATTATTGGCATTAAATCATATTTCGATATCATTTTAAAATTAAAATGATAATTAGATATGAATTCTTATATAATACAATTAAAATACATTTGTGACTAACTTAGTTAGCATTGATTACAACAATCATTGCAATCATTAAGTATAAGTACAGGTACATCTTATAAAAGCGTTAAAATTCAAATCAATATTCTATTTAACATTTAATAAATTTACAAATTCTTTGGGGTTTCAGCTGTATTTAAATTATAAAAAATTTATAAAACAAACAAATGATTGGGTTATTCACACAAAATCTTCTCTGTTTATATGATAGAGATTCAACGTTTCGCTCAGATATTTGGTGCGGATTTCGAGTTCTGTTAAGTCATAGCACTTATTCTCGATATTTCTTTGAAACACCATTTGTTGGTGTTTTTCAAGATCATCGCTATTCATGTTTTCTTCGACCATCTCTTCGTCCTCTTCCTCCTCGTCCTCACTCGATGGCGGCGTTTCAATGATCGGTATATTGAGGTCCAAGTATTCCTTGAAATAAAAAACACAATTATCAGTAAATGTCATATTCTATGCTAAATACAATCAATGCTGATAGTGGGCATACCTGTTGTGAATTAGCGGCTATGATGTCACCCAGGTCATTGACTAATTCTGGGAAATTGGGTCTTTCATAGGGCTTCTCTTTCCAGCACTCAATCATAATCGCATACATCTGTTGCGGACAATTGGGCGGCGCTTCCATTCGTTGTCCGCTTTCTAATCGTTTAAAGAGTTCTTGTGCTGGTATTCCCGGATAAGGAGTTCCGCCCAAAGTCATAATTTCCCACAAAAGAATACCATAACTCCAGACATCCGACTGTGAAGTGTAGACCTGTCCTAATAGGGACTCAATAGCCATCCATTTGATGGGAAGTCTTCCGTCAGTAGTTTTGCGATAATACTCGCCCTGAATATTGCGGGCTAAGCCAAAGTCGGCGATCTTAAGGACATTATCTCCAGAAACCAAGACATTACGGGCCGCCAGATCTCTGTGAACGCAACGCTTGGACGCCAAGTACTCCATTCCTCTGGCGATCTGTTTATTCAAAATGAATTTATTTGAAAATCTTATTTTAAACAAAAGAATAAAGAATTTTAATAAAGTTTAGAGTAAACATGGACTCACTTGATAGGCATAATTGATTAAATCTAAATAAGTGAGAGCTTTCATATCCGGGGGCTGTCCTATAGGCTGCTCATAGAAAACATTGGAGTCGTGTCTGTGTTTACGTAAAAAATCCCTCAGATTTCCATTCGCCGCGTATTCAACGATCACATACAGAGGCCCTACATATGAATACATCCAACCATTCATTCATTCGTTATATAAATAAACATTTTGCTCAACAAAATGAATGCTTTTAAGCAAAAACTCAATTCTTAGCACAAAACTAATGAATAGGTTTATATAAGAAGCAAAGAGTGAATGGATTACCGTTTTGTGTACAACAGCCCAACAAATTGATTATATTCTTATGTCTCCCAATCTTCTTCATGACCTCCATTTCAGAGACCAAATCTGTCATCTCGTCGTCGTTGTGAACGTCTTTAAGCATTTTTACGGCAACTATTGTCGCCGTCTTGTCGTTTGAACTCTTAAGACCATAGGCCTCAGCCTTCACTACCTGTCCAAATGCGCCCTCTCCTAAAGGCTTCCCTAATAGTAGTCTAGATTAACACATAAAATATGATTGTCAATTTATTAAATATGTTCTGTAACTATAAAAACTATTAAAATGCTGATTACATACCCATCTCTGGACACTTCCCAGTCCGGATCGAGAGGCAACTCGTACTGCGAAGTCATACCATTCATTTGACAGGTGTTTGAGTCCACTTCGACGGCCTGGTAGTCAATTTTGACCAGTGGGGTGATAAAGTCACTCGATTTATCTGAATCGGGTTTTTCGAGAATTATCTTCTTTTTGATGATATAACTGGTTTGTGCCATAACTGTCACATTCTTAGGGCCTCGATATTTGAGGTAAATGGCAATTGTGAACATAATTATGGCAAACATCATCACAACTGATACAATGATTAATAAATGACTTTTCATTGGAGGCATGTATTCAACAATGGGGTCGTCTAACAACAGATTAAATGCAAACAAATTGATTAGTTTATACGGAATTCATAGAATTTCAAGCATTTATTAATAAATGTTTTAATAGTAATGCATTTAATTCATACCCGAAACAACTTTGAGTGAGAAATTCTTATGTGATGTCCCGTAGAAGTTCTCAACACTACACGAATAGTTAGCCGTGTCTTCAAAAGTCAAGTTATTTATGACGAGTCGCTGATAATGGGTTCCCTCGTATTTCAAGTCATTATGCTAATAGTTTTAGATATAAATTCATTGCTTCAAAAATTTATCATTTCTATGTTTTCATTATATTTATTACCGGAATCAATGTGATAATAGTTCTGTTGTAATCAGTTATCATTTTATACCAATCGACTACTGATTCAAGATCTGACTTAAAAATACAGTCGAATATTGCCTTTTCACCCAAAATTAAAGTCTGATTCAATGGATATTCGTGTGTTTCAAACACAGGTCTGTGCGCTAAGAAGTCTTTAATAAATAGTAAACTTTTTAGTATATTTGTTTAAAAGTAAATTCTTAAACTCTTACCATTCACATAAACAATATATGTGTGGTTAATGTCGCCATTCTTGTTGGACACGACACACGTATAATTACCGGAGTCCGCGGGCGCCATATTACTCATCGAAAGACTCCACTTCTTCATTGACATCTTTTTTATCAAATAATAATTTAAAATTAATTTTCACCTTCAGTTAATGGTACCGGTACAATCTTAAACACAATCAAATATAACTTACAGATTCTCCATTCTCTCTATACGTTCCGTTCAATAAAATGCCATTTTTGAACCACTTTATTGTCGGAGTGGGAACACCACTCGATGGACACAATAATTTATGACTCTCTCCCGATGGGATGTGATAGAGCTGTCGAGACATTCGCTCCCAATTCGTAAAACGGGGTATCGCTATAATAACAAGTCCATGAATAATAAGATTAGCTGAGGTTAACATATTATATAAAATGGAGTCATTATAAGACTTATTCTTACATTCATTGTCTTGTGAATCTTTACTTTTGTTCAATTTTTTCAAGCGATCAACGCGTTTGGTATCATCCGCTTTGGATGGCTTTGTTGGGTATACTTTTGGTGGTAATTCAATCACATCTAATGTGTAATTGACACGAATGGAGTCATTATTATTTCCGGCCAAAGTAATGCAAGAATAAATGCCAGAATCGTTGAAATTAAGGTCATAAATAGTCAATGAATTTGAGTTAAACCAGTATTTATTATCAATGTTAATTTGGGTCTCATTTTTAAGCCAAATTTTGGTGAGTATTGTGTCGGTAGTTGATAAGGTCCGGCACATGAATTTGACATAAGTGCCCACAGGGTAAATGCCATTTTTGAACCACTTTATTGTCGGAGTGGGAACACCACTCGATGGACACAATAATTTATGACTCTCTCCCGATGGGATGTGATAGAGCTGTCGAGACATTCGCTCCCAATTCGTAAAACGAGGTATCGCTATAATAACAAGTCCATGAATAATAAGATTAGCTCAGGTTAACAAATTATATAAAATGGAGTCATTATAAGACTTATTCTTACATTCATTGTCTTGTAATTCTTTAGTTTTGCTCAATTTTTTCAAGCGATCAACGCGTTTGGTATCATCCGCTTTGGATGGCTTTGTTGGGTATACTTTTGGTGGCAATTCAATCACATCTAATGTGTAATTGACACGAATAGAGTCATTATTATTTCCGGCCAAAGTAATGCAAGAATAAATGCCAGAATCGTTGAAATTGAGGTCATAAATAGTCAATGTATTTGAGTTAAACCAGTATTTATTATCAATGTTAATTTGGGTCTCATTTTTAAGCCAAATTTTGGTGAGTATTGTGTCGGTAGTTGATAAGGTCCGGCACATGAATTTGACATAAGTGCCCACAGGGTATTTGAGTTAAACCAGTATTTATTATCAATGTTAATTTGGGTCTCATTTTTAAGCCAAATTTTGGTGAGTATTGTGTCGGTAGTTGATAAGGTCCGGCACATGAATTTGACATAAGTGCCCACAGGGACCACAAAATCAACATCAGTCGGAATCCATTGAATTGATTCTGCAAATAAATAGTGATTTCCTTAATGACATTTTGTGTAAATTATATGCAAATATCTAATGAGAAACAATTGTTAAGTTATTCAAAAAAGTGTTTAATTAGTGCTGAGGAATAATTGGTTTAAAAAGTCAGTTCTTATCTCTTGGATACGACTACAGAAGTGTCAAAATGTCACAAAAGCTATTTAAAGATATTATTCGAGAGCTAATTGTATTATTTTAGTAACCATTAGAGTTAAGAATAAGTTATCAGTGATTCGTTGTCGACACTATACTGTACTCTGTGTCGACCCCGGGTCCCATATTTTTACAAATGCTTTTTAAGTGTTTGAATGTCTCATATTTCAAACACTTACAGATTTGATATTCAATCGATGCATTAGTTTGACTTTCGATAAGTAATACTGTATATTATTTTGAATTTATTTTCTTATAGAAACGGGGTTAAAAATAAACTTAGAATTTGAATATATGAGCTTGAAATCTCTCTCTCTCTCTCTCTCTCTCTCTCTCAAATGCCATTTGGTTTTGACTACTAGTAGTTAAAGTTAATTATACAGTAGCTCTAACTCTTAAAGTTTCGGTTATATAAATAAGAGAAACATCTTTTCATTTCAAATCATATTTTCTTCTAATAATAGATTTGTTTTAAATATCTATATATAATCGAAAGCAAATGAATTCTAATGCAAACATAAGGAAAGTCATAAAAAGCGTACAGAATTGAGTGCAATATTCAGTAGTTATGATATGTATGTAAAGTATATTCAAGTGAACAAAATCAATGCTGTTTTGTTCACAGATTCAAGTCTTATGACCGACTCGTGAGCCAACAAAAACAAGTCTTATTTAAATAATGCAAAACATCAGAAGAATATGTTTGCCATTAATTGTTATTCAGTTTCAGTTAATAGTATTCAAATGGATTGCAATCCTCCTCAACGGCTTATACATCTGAGACCAAAGCAATTAAAGCGATTACTGCTTAATCTCTTACGGTATATATTGGATAATGTATTCAGTCGTACAATGTCTTAACAAATGTCTAACTATTAACCAATTCATGGTGTATTGCAATTTGAGAGCCCATAGCGTTTTGCTTACATTTTAAACGCGCTTTCGATATAAAACTTCAAATCCCAGACCAAAACTTTGGTATACTTTTGGATAAACTATTTATATTTAAATTGTTTATACAGTGATAGGCAGAAAACAGCAATGACATTCTTGTCCATAAAAAAATTCTTGTCCTAAATGTCTAAAACACTAATTTCAATAATTATTAATATGGTTATTAAAATCTTAAGACATATTTCAACAAAATATCAAACTTTTTAGTGATAAGACATATTTAAAATAAACTTTTCTCTAATGTCAATGAATTAATGGACAAAACATATGTCAAAAGTTTATATTTAAATAATTTATATGAATTGCAATCCTAATAAAACTCCAGATTTTTGTCTGCTTTCTATTAATAAGTAATATTAAATTATTTTCTCACTTTTAAGCAAAAGGATTAAATCTTGAAATAATATCAAAAATGTTTGCACTGATCATAATGAATGGCAAATGTATACTAAAAATAACACTTACTTTGAGTTTTATACACTGGAGAGCCATAAATCAAATCGAGACTCAGAGTTAAAATAAACTGATGAATGAGAGACAACTTCAGAGTCTGAGAGATTGAAACCATATTTTCTTCACAACTCGCTCTTCATTACTCGAAACTGAAGATCAAGAAAATCCAGAATAAATTATTTGGTCATAAATTCACTAAAATATAAATATTATAAAACAATACAAACATTTAAAAGCTATTATTCATGTAAGAAAATTAAACAAAACACATACAAAAACATGAAGCGATTATAATATTTTTTACAATTTGCACCAAAAATCTGCATATAATACGTGAAGTAAGACAAAAGTTTGTTCACATATTTATTGAATTACGGGTTTTTAGAAAAATTCATTCATTGTAAACACATGTCATAAAGTTTGGGCCAATTTTTGAGTGAAATTGTTTTAAAAGTAAAGACAATAATCCGATGTCTTTTGGCAAAAGCGTTTGGACAGAGTATGACTTCTTGGGGACACAAGTATTGATGCATACAATGGACTTACAGTAAGTCCTAATGAGTATAAGTGAGTGAAAACCTTGTGGTAGTAGTGATTGCAAGGAGTAGTGGACCACTAATGCAAAGACCAGACCAACGGTTAGTTAGTTGGCATCTGTAGCCCATATGCTGGGGTCGTATAGTTTTATACGATTGTACGCCATATAAAGACAACCATGAGTTGACTCAATCATCTGATGGTCTAAAACTGCTAAAACACTTAACACAGAGAAACACATCTTCTCTCACATCATCTTAATATCCAATCTCTCGAAGAGTTTGTATTTTTGTAAAAAAGGAAGCCTTATGTCCGGTGCGGGGCTCAGGGGCTCAAGAATTAATGTCTACAGAGTTGTCAATTGAGGGACTGGTGTGTCAGTGTTGGCACGCGTTCTGTGTCTACATTAATGAATAGGAGAAGCATTTCTATGTCTCCAAGAATTCATTTCCGGCGCCAATCGCTTCATTCAATCTACAAATTTCCTGCCGAAATATCTCTTTTATATTATATTCACGCATTTTTTATGGCGAACCACAGAATCGCGGATATTTTGCACGTGTTTTGTCACACAATTTAATTCATATAAAAATTTAGCATTTCTTATACACAAGACTTTTCCTTCACTTCTACTCCAGAATTAGAAAATTCAGTTGAGATTGAGATTCAGTGCCGGAAACACTGTTTTACATTGAATTTTGTCATTCATTTCAATAGATCCTTAAGAATGCATTTTTGTTGAGTTTATAATTTGCATCAAAAGAGCGGTTTGTGATATGGGAGGGACGGGATGGCAGTTCACTATAACTTCATTTTAAAGTACAGTATTCCCGAAGAAAATGGATTTTACACACAATTCCCTATTATATGATAAGTTATACACATTTCTAAGCTTACAATCAAATGATGAAAAAGTCTTAAAATCATATTTTTTGTTCGCATTCATGAGATTAAGTGAACTAAAGTCGAGGGGTTTTGAGGGTTTATTTTGGTTTAAATGTTGAGAATTTGTGCCAAAAATATTAGTTAAGAATAACATCACATCTAATGTAATGAGATATCAGATAATTATCTTATAATCAATTAAACATGTATTCAAAATGAAATTTAATAATGTCTTATATAAGAAAATTAAGATATATTTTAAATGTTATTTAAGTTAAGTATAATTTCTTAGGAAATCTATTTTGATGATTAATACAGAAAAGCTAAATATCTTAAAATATCAAACCATTACTAAAGAGTTAATCAGTTGATTGGTGTCCAGTTATGCCAAAAAAGTCAATTAAGTGAAAGAGTTCAGAGGAACTGGTCTTAAAGTATGTCCTAATGAATGAACAGTGGATGCGAAGTGTAATACAATATTGCAATCATTTGTTCAAATCATTCAAACGTTTGGCGCAAATATGAGAATATTTGCTGAGATTTGCAGCCCATATACAGCCCACCAGTCCATTGGTTGTCTGTTAGGACTGCGGGCTTACATCTTACGAGTGAATCTTATATGGGGTCCCAATCCCAGCCCTGGTATGCATTGTGAATGGACTTCAAATGAATGGGATTTACACTCAAAATGAATACATTTTTAGATAATTTTGCGAAACGATTGCAATGATTGCATACATCAAACACGTTATGAATGACAGACTGTACTCTATGTCAGTGTTATCTGTCATTCAAATGGTGGTGTATTTAAGCTTTCAATGCATTCAATGGTATCTTAAGATTATTTAAAATAGACTTAATTGTCGGCTAAATATTTGATGTCCCGTTTTTTCATATAAATACATAAATACACGAGTGTTCATAATATAATAAGCAATTAAAATATAATTTGCTATAAAATATACTATCATTACTAAATCGCTAGACTAATGATAATGTCTTATGAAAATAGCATTGAATATAACACTAGTAATAAAATATAGGAAACTAATTGTAAATTGAAATGAACTCAATTACTTGAAATAAAATGTAGTTTTGCTCAAAATGTGAACTCAAACTGACATTTGTTTATGAAGTCTATTATTAAAACATATGCCAAACATAATATAAATTTAGTGAAAGCATTGAATGTAAACCTAAACAACACTTACCACACAAAACATGAAAA